ACATAGGGCAGGAAAAGGTAATCGGATCTGCCCACAAAGACCTTCAAAGGCCACTCTTACGAGGTCAAGTTCATCCTAGAGAAAAGTGGGGAGTTACTGAGATTTTGTAATAGGGAAATAATATGAACAAAGTGAATACTTAACAATGTTCTTGAAAATTTTTAGATCTTACACCATATAATGTTTTGGAGTATTGATTATATGAGTATCATAACTTCTATTTGAAGAGACATTTCCATTCACCAGTCCTCAGAAACCAGCTCCTCCTTGTTTTAAGCTCATCTCTGCCTTCTATGGGATTATAAAACTACGGCAGATTCACTAGATCTAACTGACGTGTAAAGAACAAACTTAACAAACATACAATAATCCATTAATAAATAGAACACAGCTAAGTATGCACCACATTTCATTACAGAACACAAATATTGAAAAATCCTCTACAAACCCTTCCTGAACACCCAAAGTCCTCTTGTCCTCTTGCAGCTCTTGGTTTTAGATAATTCTAATAATAATCACAACTGCAGCAAAGAACAATATCCTTACTATTAGCCAGGTCCTGGGCTAGGCATTAAAATGCATTATCATACTAAATCCTCACAAAAACACATAAGTAGTTATTATCCCAGTTTTACATAGGGGGGAAGTTGTGGGTTGGAAAACTTAAAGTAATCTGCCCACAGCTAGTCAGTGGTGAAGAAGAATTTGAAAAAAGGTGTGACTGCACAGTACATAACTTTAACCATCATGATTGGCATGTGTTCAAAGTTTTCATAACCAGTGTGTCCATTTCTAATCCTCCCCACTTGATAAGTTCTATGACAGCAATGAACAGATGTTTTTTCCTTACATTTCCTTCAGTGCCCTACTCAAGAACTTCTTGGTGAATGAATGGCAATACTATAAGCACTGATAATATGGGATAAAGGAATTCAGACAGGAAAGAAAGTCACCTGACAGACATCATTGTGAGAAGAGGTGTGGTAGTCAGCTTCCAAGATGGCAGCCAGTTATCCTTGCCTCCTGCTATTCACTTTCTTGTACAGGTCCCTCACCACAGTGACTCAGTTCTTCTCTGTGTGACCAGTAGAATAATTTCCCTGACTAGGTCAGAAAAAGGGACTGTAGTAGATCCCTCATTCTTGGGGAAGCCAGTCACTGTGGCATGGTAACCCTCAAGTTGCATCACAGAAAAGCCCACATAAAGAGCAACCAATTCACCAGTACTGATTTACAGCTGTGTAAGTTAGCTACCTTGGAAGTAGACCCTCAAACTCTGAAAAGTCTTTAACTGATTGTTGCCTCTGCCAATATCTGAGAGATCAGATCTCATGAGAGATCCTGAACCAGACCACAAGGTGAGCTGCTCCAGAAGTACTTACCCACAGAAATTAGGAGAAGTAATAAATACTTATGATTATTATCCTAAATCATGAATTTTGGGGGAAGATTTATTACACAATAATATATAACTAATACAAAAGATGTTGGAAATGAACTCCACAAAGAAAGTAGAGCCAGAAACAGAGGTAACAGAGGAATAATATAGGCAAAGCAGTGAAAAGAACATGGGGAAAATCTTAAGCAAAGGCAAGTTCATTTCTTATAAACAGCCATTCCCAAGATTGAAAGAAATCTCAATGTTTAATTAGTCCAACCATGCATCAAATGCTAAAGTCCACATCTAAAATAATAAAACTAAGGCAGAGAGACAGGGGATTGCCTGAATTTATCTAAGGTGAAACGAAGAAGAAGGTTGAGTTTCTATAGCTCTCCTGCATCTAGTGAGAAATGGGGAATACATGAGCCCCACTCCTTATCTGTGGTTTTGCTTTGTATGGTTCCATTTACTCAAGATAAATCATGGTCCAAAAATATTAAGTGGAAAATTGTAAAAAAAAAAAAAAAAAGCAATTTGTAAGTTTTTAGATTTTTTTATAGTATACTGTTATAATAATATATAATTTATTATGATAATAAGGGGAGACAACTGTATTTAGTCAAAACAGACACTATTAAATGGTGACATTCCAGAAAGTCATTTAATTAAGAAATTGAGGAAAGAGTAGGAAATACTCTGGAGTTAGTAGGTATAGGTAAGAACTTTCTCAACGAAACCCCAGCAGCACAGCAACTAAGAGATAGCATAGATAAATGGGACCTAATAAAACTAAAAAGCTTCTGTTCATCAAAAGAAATGGTCTCTAAACTGAACAGAACACCCACAGAGTGGGAGAAAATATTTGCCAGCTACACATCAGACAAAAGACTGATAACCAGAATATATAGGGAACTTAAAAAACTAAATTCTCCCAAAACTAATGAACCAATAAAGAAATGAGCAAGTTAAAACCACACTAAGATTCCACCTCACCCCTGTTAGAATAGCCATTATTAGCAACACCACCAACAACAGGTGTTGGCGAGGACGCGGGAAAAAGGAACCCTCTTACACTGTTGGTGGGAATGTAAACTAGTACAACCACTCTGGAAAAAAATTTGGAGGCTACTTAAAAAGCTAAACATTGATCTACCATTTGATCCAGCAATCCCACTCTTGGGGATATACCCAAAAAACTGTGACACAGGTTACTCCAGAGGCACCTGCACACCCATGTTTATTGTGGCACTATTCACAATAGCCAAGTTATGGAAACAGCCAATTAAGAAAATGTGGTATCTATACACAATGGAATTTTATGTAACCATGAAGAAGAACGAAATGTTATCATTCGCTGGTAAATGGATGGAATTGGAGAACATCATTCTGAGTGAAGTTAGCCTGGCCCAAAAGACCAAAAATCATATGTTCTCCCTCATATGTGGACATTAGATCAAGGGCAAACACAACAAGGGGATTGGACTTTGGGCACATGATGGAAGCGAGAGCACACAAGGGAGGGGTGAGGATAGGAAGACACCTAAAAAATTGGCTAGCATTTGTTGCCCTTAACAAAGAGAAACTAAAGCAGATACCTTGGAAGCAACTGAGGCCAATAGGAAAAGGGGACCAGGAACTAGAGACAAGGTTAGATTGAAAATAATTAACCTAGAAGGTAACACACACGCACAGGAAATTAATGTGAGTCAACTCCCTGTGTAGCTATCCTTGTCTCAACCAGCAAAAACCCTTGTTCCTTCCTATTATTGCTTATACTCTCTCTACAACAAAATTAGAAATAAGGGCAAAATAGTTTCTGCTGGGTATTGAGGGGGTGGGGGGGAGAGGGAGGGGGCGGAGTGGGTGGTAAGGGAGGGGGTGGGGGCAGGGGGGAGAAATGACCCAAGCCTTGTATGCACATATGAATAATAAAATAAAATAAAAAAAAAAAGAAATTGAGGAAGGAGCACAAAGAGAGCAAGAGAAGGGGAGAAGAAAGAAGAAAAGGAGGAGAAGCAGAATAAACAGAAGCAGAAGCAAAAGAGGGAGGAAGAAGACAAGAGGAGGAAGAAAAAGGAGAAAAGGACACAGGGATGCAAAAAGAAACTGATTTAGTGAAGTGCTATGCGGCAAATACCCTTCTAAGTTCTTTAAGCACATCTCTTTTTGCCTTCACAATGACTCTATGTCCTCAAATTTTTTCAGTTCTTTTTCCTCCTCTTTCTGAAGAAGCTTCCCCTTGTTCTACTCTGATCTGAGATAGAAAAAAACTGACAAACTACAAAGAAGGATTAAAGTGTCATGCACCTAAACTCATCAGGAGAAAGCAAAAACCAAAACAAACAAAGCCTGAGCATAAGACTGAAGCTCCAGCAAGGTCCAAACAAGAAAGAATCCACTAACATATTACGTTATTCCTTTCACTAAGAACATAAGACCCCATTTCTGGCCTATTGATTGGTGTAACTCTATTCAAAGGAGGAATATATCTGAGATGAAAATGTTAACACCCACAACATACTCTGTCCCAAGATAGGATGTATTACTGGTTCCAGAGTTTATTCTTTTAGAGGCCAATAGTGGACCTAACAATGTCATTGGAGGAGGAGCTCCTTCTTAAGTTTAATTCAAGAAGTAGATAGAGACATTGGCCTTTTAACGAAGAGGAGCATGAATACTTGTTCTGTAGGGAGCCAACTTTTAAGTATGCTGCTATGCACACATAGTAAAGGAGAAGAAGAATACTCAAAGTCAAGTTAGTGATCATTCCCTACCATGTGGTCCTCCTATGAAGGAGTAATATGCTGGACTGAAAATAGAGTCTTTAAAACTAGAGTTGGCAGAATGGCTCAAGTGGTAGAGTACCTGCCTAGCAAGTATGAGGCCCTGAGTTCAAACCCCAGTACCACCAAAAATAAATAAATAAATAAAACTTACTAAAGTACTTAAAATAGATGATTATCCCTCTAAGAAAACAAAACGGTTCAATAAGAAAGGGATATATTGCTTTGGAAAGTTTGAACATATGCCATCTAAAGGCCTGTAGAATAATGGTCAAAACTTCTCAGCATCTCTAATGCTAGAAAAAGTAGACCTTCAACTAATACCATACCTATGGCATTGTTGATGGGCATGAAATGGCAACCAACAGGAAGTCTAGGAATTCTTACCAAGATTCCAGACATGTGGGGTTAGCAGCACATTCTGGAAATGGGTTAAAAGGATGACCAATAAATTTCTATGGACCAGAGTGGTCAAAAAAATCCTTTGTCTGAAAAAAAAAATACTGCAATCCTTTAAAACAGTAGACTCACTGGACTAGTGGAAATTATCAACCAGAAAGGTTAACCTGATTTGCAAATGGCTTCTCTGTTGACTGAGCCACATAGTCAAAGAAAGTACCATTAAGTTATAGCAAGCTCCCTATACACAGCCTAGTGTACAGAAACACGTCCTATGTCTCTGAACATTTCTGCACAGCCCAAGCACCAGGCTTTATATAGAACAGGTGTGTGGCTAAAGTAGGTACCAATGATAAGATGGCACACATGCCACCCCCTTGAGTAGCTACAATCAAATCGGTCAAGACCCCAGGTGTTGCCCTGCTTTGAATTTTTACCATCATTGAAGCTGTCACTGGTGGCCACATGAGTGAATGGTGACTGGGCCCGGGGCTCCTCACACAGGGAATAGCTGTGCTCAGCTTGGATGAGAGGTGCTGGGGATGTTGGGGATGGCTCCACCTCCATAGACACGCTCTTCTCTGAGAGGAAAGGGTCATTCAGGAGCTGACCCAAGACGTTCTGGGAAAACTCATCCAGAAGTTCTGAGAAGTGCTATAAAAAACAAAGGAAGAAGAACTCAGTTTTTAATCATCATCTGATATTTACTCTATACACATATGCTAAGGCAAATACATTGATCACTGAATTATGGGAAGTCACATATATATAGTATCCAGTTTTCTATTTCTGTCTTAGCAAACCACCTCAGTGTTTAGTGGCTTGAAGTAGCCATAATTTATTATTACTTGCTATTCTGCTGGTTGGCAAGGTGGGTCAAGTGATTTCATTGGGTTCCCTAATAGAGCCTCCTTGAGTGGAAGATTGGCTGAGGACTGGGCTGGGCTAGAGAGGCTGGAAACTTAGGCCCTTTTCTCAACAAAGCTGCACCAGGCTGGGTTCCTCACAGCCCAGACTCATGGGGTGGGAAAATAGACTCCACATCTTGAGAAGGATGACAGAATCGCAGTGCAGATGAGTGTAGACGCAGAATGGTGTGATTCCCTTGGTGTCATTGCTGTAGTGATCTGCCACATTCTGCATGGGTAATACCTCTAAATAAGTTATGCTGTATTTTCACAACATAGGTTGTGATTACAGTGAAGAGCTAAGTTCAAAACCATTGGCGGCAATGCTATACTTGTGATCTGGAATGTCTCCCAGAGATCGTGTATGAAAGCTTTGGTCCCCACTCCATTGTGCTACAGGGAGGTGGTAGAACATTTAAAAGGTGGAACCTAGCAGGAAATTTTCTGGTCCTTAGGGGCAAGCCCTTGAAGAGGGTTATGGAATTCTGGTCTCTTCCTCATTCTTTCTCTCACTTCTCAACTTCTCAACTGTGAGCAGTCGTGCTGTGCCACAACCCTACCCACACTGACCCACCACTACCACGGTGTGTTGCCTTGCCCAAAGCAACAGAGCCAACCAACCACGGACTGAAACCTTCAAAAGTATGAGCAAAAGAAACCTTTCTCTTTATAAGTTGATTGGCTCAGGCATTTGTTAGAGTATATAAAAGCTGACTCACACTGCCATCTTCTCTGTATTCTCCTGACTGCCTAGACTTTGTTCCTCTACATTTTTCCATTAATCTCCTTAATTGCTTCTCATTCTCCATCAACCTCCAATAGCATGAACTTCCTGACCCCTGCCATGCCATGGGCATGATTTAGGAAGAGTAGATATATAATCCCTGGAATTTCTATATCCCTTGTTCCACTGTTCCACTCTACAGGGGCCAAAGCCCCATTCACCTGCTTCCTTGACAAGAGTATATTCATATTATGAGGACATGAGAGTAGGGTTTCTCAACCTGCACTATTGACATATTGGGCTAGGTAATTCTTTACAAGGAGGGGCAGGGGTTTTCTGTGTTTTGGATTTTTTTAGCAGCATCCCTGGCATCTACCCACCAGATACTATTATAACTCCCACAGGTGTGAAATCAAAAATGTTTCTAAATACTGCCAAATGTCAAAGGTACTCCATATTGAAGCCATCTCTATCTTCAGTGATTCTGTGCTTACTTCAGTCACCAACCACTGAAGCTTGACTCCACTTTCACTCACCATTCCTCTGCCTACACCACTTTAGTCCCTAGACGTCCAAATGTGCCCAAGGTAAGAGGGAAAATCCCAGATGTTGCAGCTACCAAATGTTAAAGTTTAGAGTAGCATTAATACAAAATAAATAAGACAGAAAAGCCCATACCTTCCCAGAGCCATTACCATTTTGGCCAGTGCTTCTCAAACTTCTAGAGGAATCGTAAGACATAGATTGTGATTCACAGGTCTAGGCAGGGGCCAAGAACCTTCTTTTCTAACCAACTCCAGGTAAAGCTGCTAATCTAGCAAGGAGCAGAACCAAAGCTAGGCTAAGATTAGAACTACATTTCTCGATTACACTGATGTCAGATTCCCTAAACTACTCTTCAAAGACAGTACCTGTTTGATGGTGAGCCTTCTGCAATGTTTAATGAAGTTTCTTTCAAGACCCAAACTAAAATAACAAAAGAGAAAGGGCTGGAGGCAGGGCTCAAACAGTAGAGCATCTGGCTTGCAGTTCAAATCCCTAAATTCAAACCCCAGTACCACCAAAAACACGTTTTGAATAAAGAAAAGTAAATTAATATAGAATGTAAAATACAAAAGTATGACTTGAACTCATAGACCCTCCATTTCCAAGCCACAACACTATCCCCTGAACTACAAGGTCAACTCTGGCCAGCTTTGCCTGCTCTCTTAACCTTCTGGAATCTTGTTCTATCCTGAGGAGAGGCAAACTTGCCCCAGGTCGAGCTAGTCTGCTGACATTCTGTTTTCTTTCCCCTGAGCAGCACTAATGAGTGTTTTCATGAACATCCCCCAGATAACCAATAATAAACTTTCTCTAGCTTGCTTACCTTCCCCTGCCTCCCCCTACTTTGCATGATATAGTAACTATCATGTTATGAAACAATTTAGCCCTAATGATAGGCAGTCCTGAAGAATTCACAGCTATTATCAAGTGCATTATCATAACCTCCCCTGAGGAGAAAAGAACCTCCCTAGAAGCAAGGACCATCTGCACCTAACCACCCACTGAGGAACTTAAGCAAAGTTAAGTACTAGGAAGATTCATAGTTTGGGACTAAAAAGTTAGACTCATCCAGTACTGCCAGATGGTGTGCCTCAGTACAGCAAAGTGGCTCTAACTGGGTCTCCTTGGCAGGGTGGGCTCCAGGACCTAGCAGAAAGGTCAACCGTCACTGCTGGTACAGGGCTCATACCAACATCGGCCCATCATTAATATGAGCCAGTTGGAGAGAAGCATCATGGTCCTGGTGGCCAAAAACCAGAGAAAGGAACAAAATAAGCCTCAAAGAGGGAGCCCTTCTGGATTCAGCAAAGTACTTAAAGGTTATAAAAATTTAGTTTAATTTTTTCAAAGAGAATGACATATAACACTTTGATGTTCCACCTAATATTTTAATTAAGCTTTATGGGTTTTCGAAGTACTTTTTTAGCCTCTTTCCTACTCAACGATCACAATAATCCTGTGAAGCTGACTTTCAACCCACAGTTTAAGATTTTGATCACTTATTGAGAGACCTTGAGGGCCTTCTTATTTCAAATTAACTAGACTTATCCCATATTGCTTCTTCTGGGAAAGAGGTATTTGGGCTTCATAATCCAGCTGCATGGAGTTTTTAACTAATAAAAAACAGGATGTTGATGTTCGGATGATGAATAATGTTGACAGGACTGGGTGCTAGCTTGTGTGATGGACTGAGCGCTTGACCTTTTGGATTCAGAAAACTGAGTCTACCTAGCACTTACCTGACTTGTCCTACAAGGGAGACATGTTCCCATGGATGATGAGAAAACTGGGGCTCAGGAAGTTAGGTACTTTGCCCATTACTGCACTGCTAATGAAGGGTGGGACTGATTTCAACCCAAGTCCAGCAGGTTCCAAATTGCATGCACCTTCTACTACAGCATGCTGCTTCATTGGAGTCAGCTTCTACCACTAGATAAAGACAAGACTCACAGACACTCCATCCACTTAGAACATGCAGTCTTCCACATTAAAAGTGGAGCAACTTCTGGGGGGGGTATAAGATGGAAAAGCTCCTGGTGTCACTTTCTGTGGTCCATCAGCAATAAGGACAGAGATATTCACTTACCCCTAATGCACAGTTCTCCCACAGGGTTCAAAGTCACATCACAGAACCTCTTTACTCAACTCAGTGAAGACACTATGCAACTTCCTTTCAGAATTTAACAATGATATCAAGGTCATACTCTCCATTATCTAATCCTGCATTTGACATCCTACAACCTGGTCCTTATCATCCTACAAGGCCTTCTCTCCCTTTATTCTTACACAGTACTTTCACTCTCGATAATAATGGTATGACCTTATAGCAATATAGCTTTGGAGTCAGACAACCCAAACCTTGAATCTTGACTCCTAGCCGTGCAAATACGAGCAAGATACCCCATTCCTCCAAAGTTCGGTTTCTTTCCCCTGTAAAGTAAGGTGAATAAATCATAGTGTCCTCCTTCTGTAAGGATTAAACTAAATTATGTATATAACACACCTTACACTTCACTGACTAATGATCTTTTTACAGATTAACATAATTAAAACAATAAAATGTTGAAATCTTCAGCTGGCACACCAACATCTCATTCACACTGTTCTTAGAATATCCTCTCATTTTCCTTTTTACCTATCAGAAAACTACCTAAAGTAAAACAAATACATTTCTTTTATATATAAAAAAAAGCTTAAATTGATCTTCCCTGGATGACTACAGCCTTCACATTAAATATCTCTTAATTTAACACATTTTTACTTTTCTTTGATGTTCCTTTTATCTCTATCTTACCTAAATATTTTATCATCAGGCCTTATAAAACCTGTGACTCAGATGGAAACCTTTTTCCAGTACCTTTCTGAGCATTCAACAGCTCTCATTTGGATCTGTTATTGTTCTACAATGCCTTAGTGAAAGAGAGTAAATCTGAATTAAAGTCAAGGCTTCCCAACAATTATAAATAAAGATCATTAAATGTTTAAAATGTATGTCCAAATTTCAAATCATGTAAGTTAGGAAAAATTATTAACCTTATAAAAATTACTCATTTTAATAAAAAAAAAGTACAATGGCTCTGTGTTTGCAGGTCATTAATGAAGTATAAAAAGTAGTTTGCAAGGAGGAGGGGCTTATGGTCTATTGTTAATAACTGCCCCAAGAGCTGAAGTCATGGAGCAAAGAAAGAGGAATAAGTTAGGAAAAAAATGAAGGATTCATAACTCTTTTTTTTCATCAGTAGTAATAATTCACCCAGACTAATCTTTGAGATACACCCTACATACTAATTTACTGAGAGCCTCATAATGAAGCAGGTGCCTATAGCACCCAAGTTTAAAAAGGAGGGGCCGATAAAGAACCTCTGTTGTTGTGCTGATCTAAGTGTTAATAAGTTTACCACACCATGAAGAAATATGTGTATCATACAGGGTCCAATCTTCTGATATGCTGACGCTAGAAGTGGACACATGAATGT